TTTGTCCAGTCATGTTCGACTCTAGGGGCCGGTGCTCATCCCCGTTTCCAAGCCATAGAGCCAGCGTTTTTGTCTGAAGACAATCTTTCCGTGGTCACATGGCCTGTGCGACTTAGACATGGAACGCTGTTACCTTCCCATCGAGGTGGTCCCTATTTATCTACTCCCATTTGCATGCTTGCGAACCGCTAGGTTGGCGGGAGCTGGGACAAGCAACGGGAGCTCACTCCGTCGCGTGGATTCAATCTTACAACTGCTAGTCTTCTGACCCTGCAGCACAGGCTTCTGCGGTTTAGCCCACAGCGCCAACACGTCCCCAAATTTAAAATCATTAAATAACAATAAAAACATCACAATAAAAAATAAACAACATTCATAATCACAAAAAAACATTTGTACAACAGCCAATTTTTTAAATGGCTCTTAAAAACACCCAGCGAGGGAGCCAGGCGGATCTCTGATGGAAGGCAGTTCCATAGTTGAGCGGCCACTGCCGAGAAGGCCCGGTTTCTAGTTCTTTCTTTCCGTGCCTCTCTTGGCGTTAGGCCCCTCAACCGACCCTCCTGGCTATGCCGAGTAATTAGGGTAGATCTGGGTGGGAAAAGGCGATCTGCCAAATACCGAGGCCCCAAACCATTTAGGGCTTTGTACGTCATCATTAACACTTTGAAGTTGATGCAGAAGCAAATGGGCAGCCAGTGTAAGGCAGCCAGAGTGGGAGACATATGCTGGTGTTTTCTCACCCCACTAAGAAGTCTGGCCGCTGCGTTCTGCACCATTTGAAGCTTCCACATCAGTCTCAAAGGTAGCCCCACGTAAAGCGCATTGCAGTGGTCTAATTGTGAGATTACGACGCATGGATGAGAGTAGTGAGGGACCCCCCATCAAGGTAGGGTCGCAGCTGGGCAATCCGCCACAGATGAAAATAGGCGGAGCGGGCCACGGACGCCACCTGGGTTTCCATGGATGTATCCCCAAGCTGTGGACCTCACTCTGTGTGGTGAGAGACATCCCCCCAAAAGAGAGGGAGTCTCCCAAACCGCCAGTGGGGGGCCACCCACCCTCAAGACCTCCGTCTTGTCCGGGTTTTGGTACCTGTTTCCTTCACTGGCTGCATTATTCTCTCTTTCAGTGTCTCCTGTTGACGTTAACATAGACCTCTTTAAAAACTCCTTCTTGGTCTCCCTGGTCTGGAGTGATGCCTCGTTTTCACAACCAGTTACTACTGTGATTCCTAAAAAGAACCTGCAACTTGGAAATGAAATTTTTACTTAAAACAGAAGTGTCACAGGGGGAAGAATCAACCAAGTCAGCTCCATAAAGAACATTGACTGTGCCTCCTGCCACCACGGAGGATGTCATTTATGCTTTTCTAGTTTTGCACCATGCAGTGCAGTCACCACTGGTCCTGAATACGTGTATATTTAACATGAGAATAAAAGAGTTCCAGAAGAGAATCTGAGATGGCCCTCTAACATTATTCTTATCACCAACAGAACAATAAAAACACTTCAAATACAGAATGAGCTCCCCTACCGTTGTATGTGTGCATGCATGTACACACGTGCAGACATATAGGTACATGTGTATGTGCACGTATGAGTGTCACTCTTTGCACTATCCCACAAGTCAATTCAAATGAATACAACAGCTGCCCATCTGCTGTATGGCCTGGAAACAACATATCCTGGAAGTCCTCAGCCACCCTGACTACTGTGTTCCAAAACAGCAATGTTTCCAAGCTATGGAGTGAACTATCACAAAGCACAGCCTCCAGCATATAAAGTATTTCAGGAATATTTGATTACCTGCAGCATAAAAGGTCACTAAGAGATGTAAAAGAAAAAGCAGCCACATTTCTCCAGGAAATTACCTTCAGGCAGGAGAAATAATGAGGCTTACTGCAGCAGTTCTTAAACTTTTTCCTTTGGCAAAGCACTTCAGAATTGCTGGGGAGGGCTCTCATTGGACCACTTAGTGAACATTTTTGTTAGTTTGTTTTCTAAACCAAAGCACACACGTACATCTTTTGCAGGGCAAGGGGGAGGCAGCATGTGAATTGTTTTTAAAAAAAGGCATATAATGAAAATTATGTGCCCTAGGCCAGGCCAGTGGGCACAAGCCATTTAACTAGTAAACGCATAGGAGAAATTACTGACCTGCCCCAGGACCATATGATAATAACCATGGGGTCTAGATTTGGGCTTTGTTGGCCTGTTTGATCATCTGGCCATAATCAAAGCAACCTTGATGTCTACCAACACAAAAACAAACCAGGGCAAGACTGACAATATATATTCTCCATTGTTCCACAGCCTTTCTGCAAACCACCCCTTTGGAGCACCCAGACCCCTAGTGGGGCATTGGCAACAGTTTGAGAGCCTCAGAGTCTCTGCCATGGAGAATTGATGGAGGATTTCACGAGATTGAAGTACAGATTGTATAGATAAAGTTTTAGTAATGTTTCATGGGCATCTTTAAAAGTATGTTAAAATCAGAGAATATTCTGTTCAATTATCATAGTACAGAGGTGTGGAGTGGGCTGTGGAGAAGTGCCTGGCATTTCTCATCTCCCTAATGGGAACTTAAGGATGTAAAAGATGGTTAGCCACCCAGAGTAGTCAGTTGACTAAATGGGTGGGGTACAAATTCAATAAATAAATAAATAAATAAATAAAATTTGTTTTTGCCAGAGAACAGAGACACTTTCTCTTCTGACCAGCTAGTGTGGCTGTCCTCATTTTCATCTGACAGAAGCCACCTGTTCCCACTGAAGCTATGCACCCTCATTTGAATGAGATGGGCTGAATGGTACACCAGATTTCCTGCAGGAAGTAGTGAAAATGGCTGACCTAGCAGCCATTTATATCTGAAGGCAACCAGTGCCTTGGAGTGCTTTTTCCAGAAAAATGTAATTAGCGGCTTGAAGAATGAAAAGGCTTTCAGAAGCCCTATATTTGAAATAATGTGGAATTACCTGGGAAACATCAGTATCAAATATGATCCAGTAGCACCATGTTCTCATGGAAGCCCTCGCTACAATGGTAGGCATTGAGTAATTGGTGAGACTAACCTGAACCTGAACCTGTGGGTCAAATTGGTGGCATTACAGAACAGCCTCTACTGCAGCTCCTCACAGCAAATGGCTCTCAACAAACCATAGGATTAAGCAGTTTTCCGAAGGGCAGCATCATATCAACAACTTCTACCCCCCCTCAGCAATGTTATTTATTCCAGAATTTTCCTTTTGTAAATATTGCCAGTGTGAGATACAGAATAGAAGAGAGTGGTTTTCTATGGCATGTGCTTAATTTCTGATAGGTGTCATTTTTCACTGGATTTACACATAATGGAAATATGTGCAAGACAACCTAAGAGCCATTAATAAAAATTGCCTCTGTCAGCTGAACTACCAGATGGATATGTGCCGGTATGTGTTTCTTGGCAGAAACAACTGCATGTTTCTTAATTTGCTTATTTATTAATTAATTATGTTTATATGCAATCTATTCCAAAATGATCTCAGGTGACTGACATAATAAAGCAGGTTGAAAAAGAACAATTACACATAATATAATAAAGATTTTAAAAGCCTTAGAATAAATAAAAGCTAAAATGCCTCTGAGAAGAGAAGTGTATGTCCCTGTGCTAAAAAGATACAGTATATATTTCCCATTTAGATGCCAGGCAAGCATCTCTGGGGAAAGACTTTCCATAAATGGGTTCCACAGCTGGAAAGACCCTCTTTCTTGTAAACCATATGACTATTTTCACTCAGAGGAGATACTCCTCAGAAAGTGACCTATGAAGCCAGGTAGAAACACATGTGAGGAGATGTTGCTTATGTATCCTTGCCTGAAGCTACAGTATTTCAAAGCTTTAAATGTCAGTACAAGCATTTTGATTTGTGCCAATGGATTGGAATCCTTTTCAACTGACAAACCACAAGTACCATATGATCCTGTCAGCCCCACTAAGCAGCCTAGCAGCTCTGTTTTGAAGTAACGGAAGTTTCCACACCATTTTCAAATGCAATATCATGTACACATTGCAGTAATCCAGTTAGGAGGCTACCAGAGCATAGATAACTGTTGGCAGACTATTCCTGTCCACATAAGGTAACAGCTGGGGTATATCAGTTCGAGATTTCACATGATATCCTTGTCATATATTGCAATTTTACAACAACCCAAGTGCCACAATCTCCTGCATCCACATTTATTTCCAAGCTCAATTCAGTGCCTTCTCTGGACCTAGCTCTCTTAGGGCTGTACAAAGTTTCTTCATAAATAGGAGGTAAAAGGTCATCCAAGTGCCAAATATTTGTGTTACTATAATTGCTTCAGAGCCAGAGGTTAGGAGTTCAATTCTGCAAGAAGAGCCAGCCTATGTAGTCAAGAGCAAGCTGCACAGTCCTAGGATGCCCCCAGAAGAATGGAATGGTAAACCATCTCTGAGTACTTTTGACCTAGAAAACCCTGGAAAGGGTCTCTGTAAGTCAGAATTGACTTGATAGTACATTTATTAGTAGTAGTAGTTGTTGTTGTCGTAGTAGTGAAAGAAAATGAAAATAAATAGAACTTGGAAAA